ATGAAGTAATTACTATTTTGATACAGTGCTGGGACGGGGCTAGACAGTCATACACCTCCCTACCCCTCTCTACCACTTGCGAAATGTTTCTCAGATCCAACATGCACCGGCATTTCCGGTACTTTCCCACATTTTAATTTAGTGAGGGAAAAGAGAATATTACGGTGGCCCATAGAGGACATGCCACACTTTTTTTTATCGCGCGATAAAATCAAAATATCGTCCACGGAAACAACGTGCGTGACAGCCGATTACGTGACCTATAATGTTTCCCATTTATCGCGCGATAATTTTTCATTTATCGCGCGATATTTTGATTTTATCGCGCGATTAAAAAAAAAATGTGGCATGTCCTCTGTGGGCCACCGTAGAAGATATCATTAAAATTACGCGGCAAAACCAGCGAAATAATGCGAAACAAATTACAAGGCATAAGACAAATTACCAGACAAATGAAAAATTACAAAACATTTTCTCTTTGTCCCACGCTCGTGACAAGACGAAAAAAATTATTTCTCTTCCTTTATTTCTTTACCGAGCTCAAAACTTGACATGTTTAACAAATAAAAAGAACTGTCAATTTGAGGACAGGGTAGAACAATAACAGGATAGACAAAGTTTCGAAGCCTTTGTTTAGCATCATATTGCATAATTTTACCAAGGAAAGCAAAACCGACGCCTAAGCTCAAACCGGATCCCAAATAAACCTCAATCAACAATATGTTTCGGTTCTTACACTTTTCAGGACCTTATCCCCCTTCCCACCCCACCCTGCCCCTCTTAGTGCTAAGAGATGATGATTTTCTTTTTCTGTGTCCCTTGTTTAATTGTTTGTTTGTTTGTTTGTTTTTAATAATGTAAAAACTTGATGATTCAGGTGGCGTGAAGAATGCGCTGAAAAGGACCACGTTCAACCAGTGTGCCTTGCGCGCCGTTGTTGTTGCTATCATGCGGGAGCTTGAAATTATTACAGCATAGGTGCGAAACTTTATGAGCAAAGATAGACGAAGAAGAAGTGAAAGCAGCCGCGATTCTATCAATGTAACCAACAAAATTCAGCATGGTTTTAGTTGTGAAGGTCCAGTGAACCACTATGGATCTCCAATAACGGGCAGAGAAGGAACTTTTCGATTGCCTAGAAGAGTTGTGAGTTTTCACGGGTCTAGTATATTATATCTTTATTTTGCAACCCTCGAGGGCGAATGGCTCGAAAAAAATATGTCTGTCTTTCCTAATTTACCCAGAGTGCCTATGCGGACAGAGGAAGGATGGACGGGGAGGAGGCTTGATCAAAGTTGATGTATGTGTCTGGTTTTTAGTGAAATTTCTGTGGACAACGTGGAGAAGATTGATAAACTTTTATCACGATTCGTCTTTATTTTTTTTTAATTCTGAATGTAGAGACAAATGTACACAGAGAAGAATAAATGAGAGATACCTGCATGTAGATAACTCACTTACATAAAAAAGTTTTGATTTCAAATAAAATGACACCTCAGGGGAAGGGAAAAAGCTTAGAATTTTCAAATCAAAGAAACAAGGGCATGTAAAATTCACCCCAAGTACAAAATACACAGGCAAGTGAAAAACACATGTCTTACGAATGCCCGGTGAAAGATTGTTAACACTTTAGTTCAATTATTTTCTTAATTGTTTGTTCATAGGAGCACCTCAGGGATATCTGCTTCTTACACTTCTCATGGAAACAAGTATTTTCAAAAAAGGTAATTAACAATGACAGGGATATTGTCACCTAAAATAGGACATTTAGGTAAAGTTCTTTGAAACCCAGTGGGTGTCAGTTACAGAGTGCACTTGCTTTCAAAATTACCCTTTCTTTTGGCAGTGAATGGTATCTTATGGAAATAAATAGCCTCAGCTAATTGACCAGTCTTTTTTTGTTTTGTTTTTGTTTTAATTTCATTTCAAGCTAAGAGGGATTTGCTTGAGTTACATCAGGGCAAAGAGACAATTTACATACAATGTAGGGGAATGTAGGGGAGAGGAGAGAGGGGGAGAGGAGAAAAGGGGGACCCCCCCCCCCCCACCCCTGATGTGAAGGCTAGGGTATGAAACAGTGACTTTCCTGTCAAGGTCCTATCAAAACCAAAACTGACTTCTGAAGAGTGTTAAACATAAATCAGCACTCTTGGTGTTTCAAACATTTTTTAATCTTTAATCTTAGGCTTCAAACTCATGTTAGGCAACTGGTGCTAGAATGAGTGATAAATTAGATGTACATGTCGATGGGTTTTCTATCATTTCTGTAGCCTATTTAGACTACTCCTGATAATCAGAGTAAAAATAGAAAATAGATAAAAGCAACCAAGAAGTTTTAAATGGTTTGTAAGGGCACATGGTCAAGGATTGATCTTATGTCACCAAAAGTGTTCAAATACATCTTATTTCACTTAGTATTTAGAGGTGGTTCATTGTCATGGCAAGCAAACAGCCAGGAACTCTTTTTTTTTATCAAAGATGCACATAATTTCTCAATTCTTGAGAGCCAACTCTTACATACTGGTCAGCTGGTTACTGGTACTAAATGGCATGTCTGACTTGATAAGAACAAATAATTTTTCTTTTCATTTGTTAATAGCGAGAGTATTTGCTTATACACAAATTGACACACATTCCCTTTTATGAGACAATAATACCAATTGCTTAATTAAGCTGATATGAATACTTATCAATAAAGGGCAAAATTACTGAGCGCTGATTGGTTGAGAGAGAGGGCATTTTTTCTTAATCGAGGGCATTTTTAGTAATCAAGAGAGGGCATGATTACCTGTTAATGATTGGCTAATCCGTTGCATAGCAACCGTTCGTTATCTTGAAATTTGTTAAAAATAGACTGCGCGCGTGATTTTCCTTCGTATAAATTTTGCCCTTTATTGATAAACAAGTAATTCCATGAGACCTTGTACTATTAAGGATTAATTGCACTTGAGTTTTCAAAATTTTCCAATTTGAAAACTCTCGTGCAATTAATCCTTAATAGTACTTGGCCTCATGTGATTACATATACTAATAAAACTTAATGTGTTGACATTGCACAGGGGGAACAAAATATATTTTGTGTTGTGAAAGTTATCCCTTTCTTTACAAGTCATTCTTTTTTTCATTCATAAAATTTTATTTGCAATGGCAAATGAGAATTAAAGCTGCAGAGGTACATGAATATTTGGAAACATAAGTGGCTACTTTTCAAGGCAAATTCCAAAGAAAAATTGATCAATAGATTTCTGTAGAAAGCTTGGAACCCAAAGGAAACATTAACCAAGCACTGCAAGCTGCCTACACTGCAGAAGTATGGACCTTGCTGCTGGTGCTTATCCCTTAGGATTTATAATGGTAATAGGACAAGTGATTAACAAATTTGGATGATCACAAACCAGGAGTCAGGTGAATGTACTTCATGTATGATTACAGACCGAACTGGACAACACAGAGTCCTGTTACCAATTAATCATAACCATGTTTAATTTCCAAGAAAGTATTTCCAGTAGAGACATTGTTTAAACTAAAAAATCCTCAATTTTGAAAGTGCCCCACTTTGGTTGGGTAAATGGTTGCTGCTATGGTAATCAATTCTGTGATTGGTGGATTTAGCTGAGCGGGTATAGCATCATTGGCTGCTTAACCTGTCCAATACCAGCCAACTGTTGGATTACACTGTCCAATTAAAAATCTATGAAATAATTAGTGAAACTACAGCAGCTAATATACCAATCACAGCTGTGGAAATTGTACTGATTATGGTATTATTACAGGGAAAAACTGCTACTTCTCCCTGAATTGCATGCTAAACCATTACAATACTAAGCTCCAAACGTTTGTAGGGTTTTCTTAAAGGTTTGTTAAACTTTCACACCCAAATCTCAGTGAAAATTATCCCCATTGTTTAGCATACATTTCCAACAAAGTTTGTTTTGAAAATTTGATGTGCAATGAAAGTGATTATCTTCATGTAATAGTTTTTGCTTTTCTCATCTGTTTGCTGTTTACTATTGTATCGATAATGTAAGGAGAAATTATGTCATTGTCACTCATGAGTGACAGAGTGAGTAAATGGGTTTAAACTTACTAGAAATTTTATACTTTCAAGAGGATTGAAAAACCTAACCCTAATGTGTAACTTCATAAGAACGTAGCATAGGGACATGGTCAACTTAAACCTAGGACCTGTCAGAGGTATACCTTGAAGGCAATATATTAATTCTTTTAACTTTAAAATCTTTGCAATATTTTAAATGATTTGCTTCTGAACTAACCAATCCTCACCATCTAATCCTCACTAAAGCCATTTCAGTTTCAGCCAATATTAACAAATGATTTGTGGTATATATTATTAAAAATGCTTCATATAGGTAGATTCTTATGGCAGATTTCTGAATTATGCTATTTTGATAGAGGTGAATAGAAACTAAAAAGGAACTGTAATTCTACCATTTTGGGAGGGGGTTCTTCTTACCCTATGGTTAACAGGACTGACATCAGATTTAAATATCTCTTCTTAGCACTATTTTCATCACCATGTTAGCCCAGTGTTTCTTAGATCAAAGTATTTGACTAAAATTCTAAGAAACCAGACCAGGGAAACTTCTTAAAGATCTCACCTCAACACTATTTTCATTACTGGGCCAGCCCAATTTTTCATAGAACACAGTGACTTGCAGATTTTGCCTTCATAACTGTGGGTAAACTGAACTTAAAATTTCCCCAAGAAATTAAATGTAATGAAAGAATATATAAAACAGAGGGCAAATTTTGTCTTACGTAGCACAACAGCTTACTTGCTAGGCTCATGTGAGCTGGCCCTTGGAGATTTCAGAGTCAAGTGTCATGCACTTTACACTAGAGAAGAATCTCATAAACCTGTACATGTATCTTGCATTTACTCCATCTCACATCCCGAGGAGTAAGGAGAGTTCCTTTAAGATGACACAGTACTGGATGACAATGTATCATGGCAGGCGTTTTTATGGTATAACTTAAAATCAGTAGTATCCATTGTCCATGTCCTCTTGTCTTTCCTTAATGGCGGTGATTTCTAAACTGGATCCATGAGTTTCAGCAAGGGACAATGCTTGGTTTGCATACCTTAGTGCTGCCTGTAGATTGCCAAGCCTGTAATTCAGGTCTGACTTGGCCACAAAGAATTGTATCTTTTGTCGCTCGCTAATTTCATTCCGATAATTCTTTTGGACTTTTTCAAGAATGGTCTTCGCATCTGTGATGCTTTGAATACTGGTCGGATGATGCCGGGCTGGTCTTGTGTGGCAATTCAAGTCCAGGAGAGCTAGTTTAAGCAGCCCAGAGAGGTGTTTTTTAATGTAAATGCCGTCATTATCGAGTTCAATGCAGATTGCTATGCACAGCCTCATATGTTCCTTAGACTGTTTAACTAGCTTGCTGCGTAAAGACGGATAAGGTAAAACAGAAATGTACTTGATCAAACTGCTAGCCTTTTCATAGAATATCAGGGCTGTTAAGAAGCGCGAGTTTACTCTTTGCGAGTTCTGATCAGCAATTGTAATTTTGGAGTGTGCATTTCCGTGCTTGTTCTGTCGTCGGTAAAAGCCGGCAAGGTGTAGATTTGCCATAGATACCAGGAAGTAGAACATCTCATCTTTCACTTTCGATTTCGAGAGGGTGTCCAAAGCTTCTTGGACCATCATTTCTGCCTTCTCCAAGTCGTTCTGATAACTGACGACGACACTTTTTTCAATGAGAATTAATATTTCGAGTTCGTCATCGCCTTTGTTAGTCAAAAGGACGCGATCTGCGACGCTATTAAACTCTCTGAAATTTCCACTGTCTCGTAAACGATGCAGATTGTTCAAAACAGAATGGAATTTCTTCATCGAGATTTCAAATCCGCGATCGCTTTCCCCCGAAACAGTTCGGAGAACTTCTGTTCCGTAACTAGTATCTTCTTCGCTCTTGCTTGAAATAGGTCTAAAGGAAAATTTTGGATTGGCACGGTGTTTGCGTTGTGGGAATCTAATTTTGGTTTGCTTCCTCTTTGTTCCCGTCCATTCACCGTCGTGGTTTACTATTCCTTGGGTAGCTGTTCCTGAGCTAGAATCTGTGCGTTGCACTGGATAGTCAAGTCGCCGACGGCATGAGCTTGTATTCACAGTGTTTCCATCTCCAATGAACAAGGTTTCAATATTGCAATTGGAAATGTTGATGTTATAGATTACGTTTTCTTGAGAACTTTGTTGATAGACCGCCATTATTATTTTCACCAAGGCGCGAGAACATCACAGGAGATGATGTCATTGGATTAACGGATTTTGATTGGTTCGGTGGAACTGTTGCGCCTGCGGTAAACAAAGGTAAAATTCGGAATTAAATTATTCGAAGATTTTGGCGGTATGTTTTGGCGATATTTTCGAGCTACGTTGTATATGTCCTGTAGGATTTCATTATTTGTCAATTGCCCCGAGAGGAGTATAGAGAGTTGCTTTTACTGGATCAAAAATGAACTACTTGCAGGTAATTGTGCATACTTACTCTGATCTATAATTTCTACTCATAAATCATTAAGAACCAGGATAATAATAACTTAGTGATATCAATTCAAGATGGTTATTGTCTGCTTCTTGCAAACCGTAACAGACATAATAAGCTGAAGAGGCATTCAACAGTAAGCTACAAGCATGCAAATGCCATCAACGTTCTCTGTATTCACTCTATTATCAAATCACGATGGCAATGTCATCGATGGTTCTAAATTTCCAAACTTCTACTCAATTATCACGATAATTATTTAAATGATTTCGGCTTACAAACTTGTATATACACGTGACGATATCTATTTAAAATGTTATTTATTAAGCTTCGCCTGACTAGAATACAATTCTTATGTACGTGAAACAAATTACGAGGCGAAGAGACCACTACAGCTTAGCTTACAGTGGATCCCTTGTTTAAGATTGACAATAAGTGACATTTTCTCACAAATTTTGGGCTTTTCTTCATTCTGTGTGCAATGTAGGATTACAGAAAGTGCTACGATGCCCACCTTACTAAGTCAATGTCACAATTAGTACAAAACCTATCTACAAGTTTTTTTTTTTTTTTTTGCACTATTACGGAATGTTTCACACAATAAACACTGGTCAGTTGGCCTGATAAGAAAATGATCGTGAAATTGAACTTAAAGCATACCCACGAATTATGATGCTCTTTGCGGATCAGAATCTGTGGAACTACACGTGTAGCTACTAGAGGTTGCTTTTTCCTGTAGCTTCGATGTTTTGGGAACACGATAGGCTGAGTATCGACAGATTTGGTTCAGATTGTTTTGAGCAAGGACTGTTTCTAACTCGAATCCATATTCCTGTGCAATTTGCAAAGCTTGACATCCATACTCTCTAGCCTTGAAGTAATTCTTCTTGAGAAAGCAAAGTTCCGATCTTGTCATGGCGTTTTTTATTCCTGCAGCAATCGGAATTTCATCGAGAAGCTGGGTACTTCTGTCAAATTCACAGAGAAGTTTTTGAGCTCTTGAAGAATCCTTCTTGGGAATGATTTGACGATTGCCTTCTTGGGATGTGGCCATACTTGAAGGTAGGGCTAAACTTGCCAGATAGATTAGCGCAAAGCATTGTCTCGCCGAGTACAAATTTTCACTCGATAGATCTCTGAACCAGTCTATGGAAAGGCCAAGGAACCTTTGTGCCTCTGCTCGGATACAGTCTTTGGATTTAATTTTGGCAAATTCCATATTACAGCGCCCTTGTTCATGGGTGAGAATAGCTAGAGCAAACTTGGGTATGGTTAAATTCAAGCCTTTCAGCTTCACTGCACTTTCCTTAGCTTTCTCCAGGCATTTAAACGCTTTGCCTAGTTTCCTCTTGGGCTGGCGTCGAAATATGCTTGCCGAAGCAACATTTGCAAGAACTATTAAAACATTTCGCAACGCTTCATTGAGTTCACTATTGTCTATGATGCTTACAGCAGCTTTTGCCAATGTTTTCGCTTTTTCTAGTTGTTTTTGATACGTTAACCGCACACCGTCTTCTATCAAGAGAAAACATTGAATCTCAGAATAGAGTTTGTATTTGAAATTTAACTTCCCCAAAGCGTATTCAAATTCTTGCCATTTCCCTCTGTCGCGCAGAGGATACAAAATATTGATTATTTCGACCATTACGTCGAACAATCTTTGACTGCGTGAATCAACTCCGCGCAGTGGCAGTTGAAGGATTTCAGGTACAAGAGGAAACACCTGCGTAACGTTTCCTTGCAAGTCAACGAGGATCATTTGATCTATGTTCGATAAATATATTTTGTTTCCTTCCCCGAGAAGAACCATATCGGATATGATGTTCTTATGTGCAGGTGAGCCTACTTGACTTTCTTGGTTAATGGAAGTCTGCTTCCCTTGCTCTTCAGTAGCATAAACAACCGAAATAGCGTCAAATCTTCCTCCTGTTGCTTGTATATTGATCGTGTTTTCGTTACCGATGTTAACGAATCGTGCACTGCAAATGTTTATGTTGGCGTTCGTGTTTTTTTTCTGTGCGTTAGCTGTTCCATTCAAGGCCTCACCTCTGCTTCCTCTCTGATTCTGGTTGAGTGCGTTTTCCCGTCTTCTACCAAAGTAGGACAATAAACTCAAAACATTTCCCATGGTAGGTGGACTGTATATTACTGTTTATCACTTCCCATGTGAGGTAAGAGAGAGAAAAATAAGCACGATTTTAGCACTCCAACATAAATTGGAACTGATCCATATTGAGCGAATGTCATTTAAAAGCGGAGATCGCGAATGGAGTCAAATGATTACGTCATGATGCGGGTAACCAATCCGTAATGTGTTTTTGTTATGGTGTGCTGAACATGACCAATGAATGTGTATTTATACTCAAAGTCACAGGGAAAATGAAACATAACTGTACATGACGTTACATAATTATTATTTTTTTTATTATTATTTTCATTTAACTACAATGTTGGCGGGTTTCATTTTTTTGAACTTTTGGCTCCATAGTGCTCATCAAATTGTCCAATATGCGCAAACATAGCTTGTATCGTCTAGGAAGTGTTGAGTGTGAATCTTTGTTATGCAATTGCATCCGATCATTTGGCAATGCAACAATCCCATTGTTAGGGAGATTTTGCATTGAATTTTATGAAACAACCCATGCAAAGGTCTCAGACTACAAAATATTGAAGCGAATGTTATTTGGTAAATTCTTTTATAAACTCTGTGCAATTAAGGTAACGTTTTGAAAAGAAATTCTCGTTGCCCTGGTCTCTCTACTTCTTGCCCTTAACCCCAACAATTCACAATTACGTGACACTGAAACGTGGATGTCCTGCATTGTCCTGAGTTTGAGGATGACACTTGACTTTTGTAAAGATATTTCAATGCATTCTGGCAATGAGGGGAGCTAATTGGAATGAGTCTAATGAAAGGTAACCTCTGTGTCGTTATTGCCATAAAATGCAATTAACTCCTGTTATGTAGACTTGAAATTCACAAAATCCTTTCTCCACTGAAAGGAACTTTTGTCGAAGTCTTGTCTGGTTGTTGCTCGAGTGAGGTATTCCTGGGCTGGTCATATCAATTACATATTTTGGTAATTCCTCCGTGTTTTCATCTATCAACTTTACACGAGTGATATTACAGTTTGGAAGTTCATCTATAAAAGCTTTAAGAAACGAAGTGACTCTTAAGCTTACTTAATCCTCAGAATGGATGTCTTTAGTTACATTGACAGATTTTGAAGTCTTATTTCTCTAATATTCGGTTTTTCCAAATGCGAATTAGTTCTGTAATAATTAATCAACAAAAACTATGTTTGTATCAACCAAATACACATTTGTATTTGGTTGATATTACATTTACTACAAGTACATTATAACTTAAGTAGTAGAGACCTTCTCTGATCATGGAAGTCAGAAAGTAGTTTTTTAAAATTTTGGATTGTTACTTTCTAAAATTCCAATAACTGAATTGTCAAAAAGTTTTATAGTTCTCAATGATTGAAACGACCTAGTTGTCGCAATCAAGTAAAAATGAAGTGCAAGAAATTTGTTGTTGGTGCTATGTTCGTGATACATATTAATTAATAGTCAAATTAGTGGCTCAGCTGAATAACAACTTCTTCCTTCTTTGCGAAAATTTCAAGGACAAATTTTAACGTCAAACCGATGCGGTATCGAAAATATCTGTTTTTCGTGGCAAGTGTGCTGTTTATACACATCTGAGTTTTCCCATAAAGTCCTGTTAAGTGCTTGTTAGGGAAAATGTCAAGGGTAATGCCACTTTAAATGGGACATTTAGGTAAAGTTGTCTGAAACCCATAGGTGTCAGTTTAAGAGGGCACTTGCTTTCAAAATTTCCCCTTCTTTTGGCAGTGAATAGTATATTATGAAAATTAATGACCTCAGCTGATTGACCAGTCTTTTTTTTTTTTTTTTTTTTTTTCCATTTCATTTCAAGCTAGGAGGGATTTGCTTGAGTTACATCAGGGCAAAAGAGACCAAAAAGCAATTTACAAACAACGGAGGGAAGGAGGAAGAGGGGGAATGGGGAAGAGGGAAACCTCTCCCCCCACCCCTGATGGGAAGGCTACAGTATGAAACAGTGACTTTCCTATCAAGGTCCTAAACTAAGTTTGAAGGAGTGTTTTCTCATCTTTCTATGGTTGTAAAACATGGATCAGCACTACTGGCGTTTCAAACATTTTTAATCTCTTATTTAAGGCTTAAAACTAATGTTAGGCAATTGTTAATAGAATGAGTGTTAAATTAGATGTACTTGTAGATGCGTTTTCTATCATTTCTGCAGCCAATTTAGACCACTCCCAATAATTAGAGTTAAAAAAGAAAATAGACAAAAGCAAACAAGAAGTTATAATTGGTGTGCAAAGGCACATGGTCAAGGATTGATCTTGTGTCATCAGAAGTGTCCAAATGCATCTTATTTCACTTGGTATTTAGAGGTGGTTCATTTTCATGGCAAGCACCCAGCTAGGAACCCTATATTTTTTATCAATCATACTCATTCTCAATGCTTGAGAGCCAACTCTGACATACTGGTCAGCAGGGTACAGGTACTAAATGACCTGTCTAACTTGATAAAAACAAATCTTTTTTTTCCATTTCTTAGTAGCAAGAGTATTTGCTTATACACGAATTGGCACACATTCTTTTTTTATGAGACAATAATACCAATTGCCTAGTTAAGTTCAAATGAATGCTAATAAAACTTAATATGTTGACAGTAGGAACAAAATATATTTTGTGTTGTGAAAGTTATCCCTTTCTTCCCAAGTCGTTCCTTTTTTCATTCATAAAATTAATATATACTTTTTATTTGCAATTGCAAAATGGAATTGAAGCTGCAGAGGAACATGAATATTTGAAGACATATGTGGCAACAAAGAAAAATTAATTGAAAGATTTCTGCAGAAAGCCTGGAACCCAAAGAAAAACATTAACCAAGTACTGCTAGCTGCCTGCACTGTAGAAGCTTGGCCCTTGCTGCTGGTGCTTATCCCTTAGGATTAATTATGGTAATAGGACAAGTGATTTACAAAATTGGATGACCAAAAAGCAGGAGTCTGGTGAATGTCATTCACATGTATGATTACAGACCAAATTGGACAACACAGAGTCCTCTTACCAATTAATCATAACCATGTTTAATTTTCAAGAAAATATTTTCAATAGAGACATTGTCTAAACTATAAAAGTCCTCAATTTTGGAAGTGCCCCACTTTGGTTGGGTAAATGCTTGTTGCCATGGTTATTGTAAGCAATTATGTGATTAGTGAATTTAACTGAGCAGATATAGTATGATTGGCTGCTTTAACTGTCCGATAACAGCCAACTGTCGGATTTCACTGTCCAATCACATTTCTATAAAATAACTGGTGAAAAGTAAAGCAGATAATGCACCAACCACAGCTGAGGAAATTGTACTGGTTATGATATTATTACAGGAAAAAACTGCTACTCCTCCCTAAATTGCATTGCAAGCCATTACAATATTAAGCTTCAAGTGTTTGCCAGGTTTCCTTAACAGTTTCTTATAAAATAACTGGTGAAAAGTAAAGCAGCTAATGCACCAATCACAGCGGAGGAAATTGTACTGGTTATGATATTATTACTAGAAAAAACTGCTACTCCTCCCTGAATTGCATGCCAAACCATTATAATATTAAGCTTCAAATATTTGCCAGGCTTGCCTAACAGTTTCTTAAACTTTCATTCCCAAAATCTAAGTAATAAATATCATAATTGTGTACATTTCGTACAAAGTTGTCTTTAGAATTTGATGTGTGATGAAAGTAATGATCTTTATTTAATAGTTTTTGCTATTCTCATATGCTTACGGTTTATTATTGCATTGATACTTTTAGGAGAAATTATGTCTTTGTCACTCATGGGAGTAAAAGGGTTAAACTCATCATAAAATTTATATTTCTAAGTGAAGTGAAACACTTGAGCCTCATGACTGTGTAACTTCATAAGAACACAGCATGGGGACCTGGTCAACTTAAGAGGTAAGTCTCTAATCCCTGTTAGAGGTATACCTTGGAGGCAAGAAAATTCTAGGAAATACGTTGTTTCTTTCTTTTTTCTCTTTTCACGTTTAACAATTAACAATTACGTGACACTGAAACGTGGATGTCCTGCATTGTCCTGAGTTTGAGGATGACATTTGACTTTTATAAAGGTATTTCAATACACTCTGGCAGTGAGAGGAGCTAATTGGAATGAGTCCCATGAAAGTTAACCTCTGTGTCATTATTGCCATAATATGCAATTAACTACTGTTAGGTGAACTTGAAATTCACAAAATCCTTTCTCCGTTGATAGCAACGTGTGTAGAAGTCTTGTCTGGATGTTGCTTGAGTGAAGTATTCCTTAGCTGGCCATATCAATCGCATAGTTAGGTAATTCCTCTATGTTTTCATTTATCCACTTTACACGATTGATATTACAGATTAGAAGATCATTCACAAAAGCTTTAAGAAACGAAATGACTCTTAAGCTTACTTAATTCTCAGATTTAATGTTTTTAGTTACATTGTAAGGTTTTGAAGCCTTATTTCTCTAATATTTTTTCATAGACTAACAAAATTGCATTTTGTGGTCTTAAGTTTAAATTTACAAGTGCTTATTTACGCCAAATTTCTCGAGAAAATCATGTGATTACGTCTTAATAATATACATGAAAAAATACGAGATAGCTTATCATAATTATGCAGAAGCAAAGCGCTCGCATCAAGTGCAGAAATAATTTATTCGAACCCAGCAAGTGACATTGTGCGTTCGGTCAAAACAACAATATACAACCGGCTCCAAAGCTTCCATCACTATTGTATCAGTGTATGACATCTTCTCACTGCAAACTAGGTCTTTCTTTTCGACCAGGATGAAAAAGTACAGTTCTGCATTGCTCTTGCTTGCCATTACTACACTATCCGCGGGGACAATGCATGGTGAAATGTATGGTGAAGTTCTCAAAATTGCCACTGTCTAACTCGTATGCAAACCATTAAAAACATCTTACGCACTACTTCTAGTTTGCTCCAAATTGGGTGAAATCCTTCCCTCGATTGCTGTAACTGGTTATCCCGATTCCTAGAAACGGTATCTTCATCATTGTGTCTTGAAAGATTGCTCAAAGTCGTGTTCGTAACCGACGACTCGCCGTCATCACGGATTGATGAGGGTTCTTGAGAAGGTGTCGAATTTCCAGAACGGTTGTCATTCACGGTGTTGTGATCACCGATTACCACGGTTTCAAATTTGGAATTGTCAAAACTGAATGAATATTTACTGATTTGTGCCGGTGAGTGAGGTCGGAAACCCGCCGCCATTTTTCTGCGAACGATCGACGTCACAGGGTTATTTTTGTATTTACCTTAACTGCGTAGGGTAACTGGTAACAAAAGAGATCAACGGTTGAGTTATTGAAAGTGAAAATGGGGGAAATTTTTATAATGGTATGGTGATAATTTTCTGAATTTGGCCCATTTGGGCCGTTGTTTTACACACTTTTGATAAGACTGGCGAATCACTCACAACTCAATCGCTTTTATTGAGCTAAAAATGGGCTGCAAGTAAGTTATTTTGCATCCTTGTTTTGTGATTGTGATTCGATCAAACCGTCAGATTAATTGTTATTATGTTAGCACACTGTTACTTTTAAAAGACGTTTACTGCAAAACTTTAAAGAAGAACCAAATTTAAGGCAAAGATCGTGGGTTAAATTTAATCGTAACATTTCATGAGTGCGTTCACTTCCGGTCTTTCTTCGACACCAATATTTGATATGTGACAGTCAACTTCGTTGTGATGCAACACTGTTGCATCAACCCTAAATTTGTGAAATGTGTGTTATTATACTTATCTATATTATTATATTATTAGGTCTTTAGTTTGAAGCTTTTGTTTCCGTTTTGAGGTTAGAAGCACTTTAATTTCCTTTCATGCAGGGAAGGGGGAGGGGGTACTTGGGTCAACTTTTGCTGGTTGTGAAAATAATTCAACCCCTCCCCAAACAAGACAAAAAATAGGTAGATTCTGTATTTTGTCAACAATGCGTCAATGAAATATTTACAAAAGCCACAAAATGTTAAAATTATTTATTCAACATTACATAGTGGTTGAATTATTTATGTTTGTCTTATAAACATGAACGTCTCTTTTAGAGATAATTCTACTTTTATTAAAATAATTGAATTCTGTATTTCTCCAATATTTTTGTAATAAAACACTATTAACAAAGGCCGCAAAAAATATTCTTGATTCATCACAGGCCAATGACAAAAAAACCTATTTATTTTTTGTTTAGTTAAAAAATCGAAGGAAAATTCAAAAACAATTTTGTGTAATAATTAGATAACGTTCAGCAAACTGTTCTGAAAACTATTTAACTCTTCATAATTTCGCCATTAGTCTTAAGGAACCATTCATGAATTATCGCCGGTGGGGAGGGGTTGGGTGGTCGGAGGATTTTTTTTTTTTGGGGGGGGGTGGGGCACATGGTTTTCAGGGGGAATGGAGGGGTGATCTGTCGTCGCCAGCAGAGTATAAAGAGAATAGTATAGAAAATCGACAGCCAGTAAGAGACGATCACGAGAATACGTCAGACCCTTTGGGGGATAAGGTAAATTTTTACTGTAACACAGTCATAATCCTCACACAAACACCACAAACACTCCCCCTCCCCCCCCTCCCTCGCAATGAATAAGGACGGATCCCTAATGCAAAGATAATTTTGCTCAAACAGTTAAAAATGTGAATTTTTTTTCTTTTCCTTTTTGTGTAACAGAAGATACAAGAGTTTGCGTGAGGGAAACCCTCAGTGATATAGGAGAGTGTAAAACTCGAATTTTGTTCATTTAAAGACCTGCTAGTTCAACTTGCCATTATCTATATCGTATGAATGGCGCTATGAAGGTTACTCAGATCTAGACGCGTTCTGATCCGAATCCGTCTTGGTGGTAGAATTGCATGCCTACCTGCGGGCATTATTTTTAACCTGTAGCTTGGCTTGTGATACTCTGAAGATACATAGATCGACCTGATCTTGGGCTGGACCAATTTCCAATTCAAATCCATATTGTTTTGCTATATTAAGAGCTTTACCTGCATGTTCTCGTGCTCTGCAATAATTCCCCGCGTGAAAGCAAAGTTTTGACTCCATCATGAAGTACTTTATATTCGCAGCTACAGGTGTGTCTTTTACTTGATTATGGCTTCGCCTGAACTCCTCAAGGAACTTTTTTGTTTTTGTCACCGATGAGTTCTTCGATGCACATGAATTGGGAATAGATAAGCGCGCCATATCAAGTAGTGCAAAGTGCTGCCTGGCTGTATATAAACGATTTTCATGCGAAAGGTTTCGACAAAAGTCGATGGATAAGCCCAGAAGCCTGCGTGCCTCTGTTTTGGCACTCTCGGCGTTAGGTTTCATCTCGGCAAATTCTGAGTAAAGGCGCCCTTGTTCGTAATCGAGTAGACCTAGAGCATATATGGGAATCGTTAAATTGATTCCTCTCAACTTTTCACCGCTTTGCTTTGCGTTTTCGAGGCAGTCACTCGCACATCCTAGCTTTTTCCCTTCCTGCCCTTCGCGCCGAAATATGCTTGCCAAAGCAACATGTGCAAGCAGATGCAAAATTTCACGTGACAGTCCGTCGAGTTCACTATTTACAATTTGTAAAGCATCTTCCGCAAATTTTCTCGCTTTCTCTAATCTTTTTCTGTATGTTAGCCCAACACATCTCTCGAGCACGAGAAAACAATTAATCTCTGGTAGGCTTTCATATTCTGACTGGAGCTGATTCAAAGTCTGGTCGAATTCATTCCATTTCCCTTTGTCTCGAAGTGGATGAAGCTTATCGACTATTGACGCCATTTGCTTAAACACTTTTACAAGTTGAGGTGCAACTCCCGGCGATGGCATATCATACGGCTCTTTAATTTCGTTTCTATCCCCGACGATTACATGGTTATCTGTCATGCTCCGCATATCTTTTCCAGATGGCTGGCGGAAATCAATGTTATTGTTATCACCGATCAGGACAATACCGGAATCGCGAATCTGTATTTGTAGGTTGTACGTTGCGCCGTTAACGGACTCGATCGCTGGTTTTCCTTTACCAACTTGGTTTCGGTTTTGATCTGGACTGTTGAGCTCTGAATCGCTGAAATAAACGGTACCTTGAGTACGGATGCAGTTCTTACTTTCATTGTGTTGCGTATCGACGTTTTCGTCGTTGCTTATAGCGTTTACGTTTGGCAATAACTTGCTAGTCCGACTTTGAACGCAGCTTTTCAGGAAGCTGAAAGCACATCCCATTTGAGTAGTGAATACAAAATTCCTGCTTCGTAAAACACGACTAACCTTTCAGTTCGAGTACCAGAGAGAAAACCATCTCGGTCACTGTGTTTATTATTGTTTATCTTGCTCGAAAGACTTGTCGCATATCTTTTCTCACAAAGGAACCAAAGTGCGTTTTGCAATAGCTTTATGAATAATATCACCCCGATTTGCCATCAAAAAGTGCATGACTGACACTTGATTACTTTCTGGTGGCCACGTGCGCGGGTTCTCTGAAGTTGCTCAATCACACAAGTGGACCTTTAAACTACATGCTTCCTTTAAGGAAGGATTGGTTCGAGTTCAGGGGAGTCGACTGTATGCCTTCTATAACTGATCGTTGTTGTTCGAAACAATTTTTTTGCAAATTAACAATCTGTTGACTTCTAAGGATACCAGAGAGGTCACGGTAGTTGTTAAAGGTGTTGCTATTACTAAGTACCCGATATATAGGGAACTTCAGGTGTTTGACTTTGATCGGTTTGGGAAAACTGCTTCTCTTGGAGAGGGTTTGATGAACGAAAGTGAACCGCTGAAACCCGTACACGTCAATTTTTTATTTCTTTTTCTCTGTCTTAATGTGTTTGACTGTTTGGGCTTCTTATGAAATGGCATCTAATTGAAATTTAACATTTTAGAGCTCTTTTAATGAACTACCGAAACCTAGTTTTCGTAACTGGAGACGCAATTAGCATTCAACAGGTAAACTATCAATTTGTAGCGAACGCACAAGGTTGCAAACAGCTCACTCCTTATGTTAATAAATGGACAGTTTTCTCCCAAAAAGTTATAATTCTACCTAAATTTTCCAGAAGCAGGAGACAACTTGCTTTCAGTCTCACAAGAGAGTAAATGCGAGATAAAACCTTCACACTGAAACACAAATTGATTGAACCTTTTCCGATGGTCAATTTACACAAATTTGTCTACTAAACGAGCCAACCACATTAACACTATTAATTAAGGTTGGCACAAAATCAAATTGACTAGAAGAGTGAAAGTACTTTATTCATTAAAAAAAATATTGTGTAACGTATAGTCGATAAACTACATCTTTTTGCGCACTTTCAATTTAGCTGCAGGTGTTATTTTAGCGTTATCGGCTGGATTTTCTCAACTTTCTCACTCATCAACTAAATATTGTGTAGCATTACGTCTGAAATTTAGACCCTACTTTCAGTCAGCCTCAAATCTCCAGTCAAACAATGTTGAAAATATACAACTCCAGAAAACCCAAAGTAAATTTTAGGTTCGCCTTTACAATGTTTCGTCTTCTTGCTGTCTTGAAGGCACATATATTGAAATGTCGAAATGTCCTTTCGCATCCGCCGCTTTATCACGGACCGCCACATTAAAGGGCGGAGTTGAACTTAATTTTATTTCAGAAAATGTCATCCCAGTCCCCCCTTAAGAGAAATAAATTACCATAACTTATCTAGTTCTTCCCAGTAAAGTTTATGGCTTAATCCTTCATTCTTGGAAGCTTTTCAGTGCCTCTTTGTAATCAATTGTGAGGTCTTTTGAGGGAAAACACTGCTTGAACCTCTAATTCCATAGTTAGGAAAAATTGCACCCTTACTAATAAACCCCAGCTTGTTTTTAGACAATATAGGGGAATTTAGACGCTTCTAGGACATAAGCTTCCGATATAAGTTAGCCGGAGTATTATTGGGAAAAATCAGTGTTCTCCTTCTCAGGCGGTAACCAGTAACATTTACCGCCTGTAGTACCTCTTATTACCGTTTAAATTGCTTGGAATTCTTGAAAATTTAACAGGTAAAATGATTACTTTACCGGTTTGAAAATGTTTTTTACCTGTCATGCGTAAAATAAGGGAGAACAATGAAAAAATCTCGGGAGGACAAATGTCTTTTACAAAATTGCCTTGATTATGCTCTCGCTTGTTTATTGACCTTTGCTTACTGTGAACGAAATCCTTTAGACGTAACGCAGGACACTGACTTCCAAACTGTTGCTTCTACTACTTGATATGGTGATACAACTGAGTGAAGTGCTTTTAGGTGTTGCACCAACTTTTTCCTCAAGCGGCTGGTCCATGGTTCAAACAGTCCATCCTGCCACTCACTAGATTTACACCATCTTTTCATAGCTGGATTTCGCGCATTGTAATGATTTTAGCATTGCTAGCAAAGTAACCACACTCAGTATTTTCTGTATTACAGAAAAGGAAAGCTTTCTGTGGATGTAAAGATATTTCATTGCTCTCTGTCAATGAGAGGAGCTAATTGGACTGAATCCAAGGAGAGGTAACGTCTTTGTCATTATTGCCATAAAATGCAATTAACTGCTGTTATGCAGACTTTAAATTGCAAAATCCTTTCTCCATTGAAAGGATCGTGTGTCGAAGTCTTGTTTGGATGTTGCTCGAATGAAGTACTCCTGAGCTGGTCATATCAATTTAATATCAGTTGATATTAATGTCAATTTATTATCAATTGATATTAAAGTTTAGAAGAAACTTAATCCTCAGAATGGATGTGTTTCGTTACATTGAAAGACTTTGAAGTCTTATTTCTCTAATATTCGGTTTTTCCAAACGCGAATTAGATCTGTGATAATTAATCAACGAAAAGTAGTACACATAGACACATCAGTCTGTATTTGATTGATCTTACATTCTCTACAAGCACATTATGATAATTAAAACTTAGGGAGTAGAGACTATTTCTTATCTCGAACTTCCGGTATCTGCTCGAAAACTTCAAGGATAAGTTTTATCGTCATAGTGATGTTGTATCAACAATATCTGTTTTCCGTGGCAACGTAGAGATCTGAGTTGACCAATAAAGTTCTTTTAAGTACTCGTGAGGCCGAGCACGCAAGGAAGTTGATCATGAGTACTCTCGATTTCTCCAGCCACTCCAAAGCTTCCATAAATATTGTATCGGTATATGACCTCTTCTCATTGCAAACTATGTCTTTCTTTTATACCAGGATGATAAAGTACAGCTCTATGTTGCTCAAGCTTGCCATTAGCACACTATACTGCCACTGTCTAACTCTTGTGCAAATTACTAAAAACATATTTTGCAATACCTGTAGCTTGCTCCAAATTGGGTAAGATCCGTTCTTCGGTTGCTGTGACCGGTGATCTCGTTTCCCAGAAACAGTATCCTCACCATTGTCTCGTGAGAAATTGTCCAAATTCCAAAGTCGTGTTGACCAAATTGGGTAAGATCCGTTCTTCGGTTGCTGTGACCGGTGATCTCGTTTCCCAGAAACAGTATCCTCACCATTGTCTCGTGAGGAATTGTCCAAACAGACCCGCTTTCCCTTCGTAAACGGCGACTCGCCGCTATCGAGGATTGGTGAGGATTCTTGAGAAGGAGGTCTCGATCGTCCAGAACGGTTGTCATTCACGGTGTTGTAATCACCCATTACTAGCTTATCAATTGTGCAATTGTCAACATTTTTAGAATATTTACTGTTTTGTGACGGTGAGTCTGGTTGCTTTTGAGCCGCCATTGTTTCTACAAACGATTGACGTTACAGGGTTATTTTCGGATTTATCTTAATTACATAGGGGAACTGGTAACCAACGTGATCAACGGTAGAGTCAGATCATTGAATCGAAGGTGAAAATGGGGGAAGTATTTATACGGATATTGTGATAATTTTCTGTATTTGGCCCATTTGGCCCGTTGTTTTGCACACTTTTATCGAGACTGGCGTATCACTCACAACTTAATCGCTTTTATCGAGCTAAAAATGGCCGCAAGTAAGTAATTTTGCGTCTTTGTTCTGTGATTGTGATTCGATCAAACTGTCACGTTAATTATGTTAGCACACCGTTACTTTTAAAAGACGTTTATCGTAAGAGTTAAGACAAGAACCACATCGCAGAGATTGTGGGTTAAATTTGATCGTAACATTTCCAGGAGTGCGTTCACTTCCAGTCTTTCTTCGATACCAATCTTTACTTATCACTTAGATGTGATGTAACAATCCAACCCGTAAATATTTTAACTATGTTTTAGTATACTTATCCTATAAAAGGAACTTATGATATTATTAGGTCTTTAGTTTAAAGCTTTTGTTTCCGTTTCGAGCTTAAAAACACTTCAACTGTCTTTCATGCAGGGGGTGGGGTACTTGGGTCAATTTTTTCTGGTTATGATGCCGCCGGCTTCTCAGAACACCCACTCAATTAAAGTCTCTTCTGTGGTCAATAATAAACCCTGCCCTAGTCGAATTCGTGATTCCAATGTAATTAATGTTTTTTTTATGCATCTAGGCACCTTATAAAGCTTTTTCTTAACGAGGCCATTTTTAAACCCATACTAACCAGAATTTTCTTTCTCCAAAAATCCTGAAATTTTGTGACCTCATTTAAGAAACTATATTGAAAAAGCGACCCAATTTTAATTAATCAAGTCGTAAAAAGTCGACCCCATTCAGTGGCAAATTCCTATGAGCCTATTAAGAGGAAGTAAACCTCCTCCTTCAGCCTTTCACCCTTGCACTTTTTGTGCGCAGTCCCCCTCTTTAAAAGAGAGGAGCTTGCCTAACCCTTTAACTCCCAGATCAAATTTGTAATTCTCTTTTCTGTCAACCATATAGTTCTTATAATGCTGGTTCAGAGAATTAAGTATTGAATCACCTAATCATCTCCAAATTAATATGCTTCTTAATTCTCGTCATTTATCTGGTTGATATTGTATTGATATTGTAAGGAGAAATTCTGTCTTGGTCACTCATGGGAGTTGAAGGGTTAAACAAAGTTCCCTGCGGAAGACCATAGAAAAATGTCCATGGAACATTAGTTACCTTGGTTTGAAAATTGATTCTTGAGGTTTTCTGAGTATCTACAGAAGCCACAAAATATTAAAGATTTTTATGTAACATAGGCTAATGATTAAATCGGCCCGGCTGTTTTCATTTATAAACATATATTTCTCTTGTAAAGATAATTCCACTAAAGTCCGGTTGGATTTTATGAAATATAAACATTGTAAGTC